GAGACAGACTATGACAAACTAGTTCCTCTTTCATGGAGAGAGGCAGGATCTCTTGTCTTTCCACACAGCAGAGTCAGGATTCTCCCCAACACTGACATCAGGACACAGCAGACTGCTTAGGTCTCCATGATGCTCATTCCTGACTCCTGGCCCCAGTCTGCTCCTCCTGGCCTACTACTGATCCTCCTATTGGGACTCACAGGTGAGCATGGCCCTTGGGTAGAATTAATTCTTCCAGCTTCTAATCCAGCCCTGCCCCTGGACTTCCAGACAAACCCAGGGACAGCCTCAGAAGACTGGACAAAGCACTAAGTACCTGTAGAGCCAGATACCTGAGCACTGTCTGTGGAGCCTTCACCTACAGCAGGAGACCAGACACTTCTAATCAGAGAGTGCTTCCAACAATAATCACACCTCTATAATATTTCAGCTGATAACCTGCTTTTCCGATAGATTTGTTATTTAAATCCTTGTCATTCTTCGTCTCTTGATGAAGCAACCTGCCCAAGGCTGGGGGCAGCCAGTGAGTGGGTCTAGCTCCAAGGCCAGAATTTTTGTTCGTCTTCTAAGGACAGGAAGACTCTCATGGAACCATTTTGAGGTGGGCAAGGCTTTGGGGATCCCAGATGCTCAGTCACCATTGTTCTTCAGTGAGGGCCTTCTGTCTCACAATCCTCCACAGCCTCTTCCCCTTCAATACAGCCCACATTGTCTGCTTCTTGGTGCATTTGTTTAATTGTCAGGCCTGGCTATAACATCGCACCTTGGGCTGGGTGAGAAAAGGAGTAGTTATGGATTTCCTCACAGCTCCTTAGCTAGAGTTCCCAGATCCATGTGTAGGCAGGGGCAGCTTCTCTTCTTGCCTTGCCCTTGGAATCTTCTGTCTCTGACACATGGTCTGTCCTCCCTGTGTTTCTATGTATCTTCTTCTAACAGCATCAGTCCTGATAGATGGCCCTCCCCTACAATTTAACCTCAATGATCTCTTAAAGGCCCACTCTCCAAATAAAGTCTCATTGAGGTAAGGACGTTCACAGGTCAGCAGGTAACAGGTCCCCACAGACAGCCCTGCTCATCTGGCTTTTCTCATGGGAACTTTGTTTTCCCTCTTTCAGGACAGCAAGATGGAGACCTGACTTGGCAAAGGCCAGGAGACCATCCTGCTCACAGCTCCCCAACAGGCTGTTGCCTTTGTCCCTTTCTTTTTCTATAAAGCTGACCTGGCCTATCTTCAAATAACCATTCGTTTGGGCCAAACTATTTACATAGGAAAGTTACTTGGTAACTGAGTCACTGCCACAGAAAATATCTACTGGACATAGAATCCAGTGGCCTAGAGAAGCATCACAGTGAGCAATTTATATACCACACACATGGTTAATAGATACCTACTACATGCTGGAAACTCTTATGGGAACTTGGATGCATTGGTGAGTAAAAGGCAAATTCATTGTCCTAGACGCTACTAGGGAAAATGACAGGAATCAGTACCCACCACCACCACAACAACAAACTAAGGGTAAGTGATGGTTTATCTTGAAAAGAGAAGAGTACTGAGGAAGAAATTCACATCTGGGTAAAGGGCTCAGAGAATCTACAGGAGAAATACACAAAACCAGAAGTATTTGGATGGTCACCACTGAGGAGGAAATCTGAATGAAGTTTAGAGTGGGTGCTGGGTGAAGGGTGTGGCTGGCTGGTGGAGGGGCTTCCTGTCAGGGACACAGCTATGCAACGTCCAGAGAGTAGATCTCATTCAGCAATGCCCAAGCATTTGGCTTTCACACTACATGAGATTGGAACCTTCACATGGCCTGGAACCTGAGATGAGGTGCTGGATCTGGTTTTGTTTTGTTTTGTTTATTTTGCTGGTTCTAGTCTTGAACTCAGGGTTTGGGCATTGTCCCTGAGCTTTTGTGCTCAAGGCTTTACCCTCTGAGTAATAGCTCAATTCTGGAGTTTTGGGTGGTTAATTGGAGGTAAGAGTCTCACAGACTCTCTGGTGTGGGTTGGCTTTTATTGTGATCTTCAGATCTCAGTATCCTAAATTTTTTTTTTTTTTTTTTTTTTCTTGTTATAATTTGTTAGAATTGCTTTATTTTTCTCCCCTTTTTCATTCACATACATTAATTATACAATGGAGTTTCCCTGTGACATGTCCCATATATGAACAAAGTAAACTTGGATCGTATTCACTTTCCCAATACTCTTATTCCTCTCCTCATTTTTTAAATAGTTTTTGTGTGGTTTATTACTCTGTTTTCCTGTGTGCATGCACTTTAACCATATTCACATTCTCTCATCTTCTCATCTGCCTAACCCCTCCTGGTCGCTGTCCCCCAAAACACTCCTCTTTTATCTAATGTCATCTTTTCAGGATTCTGCATATAAGAGAAGAAATGCAGTATTCACTTTTTTGAGTCTGGCTAATTTCATCTAACATGATGACCTTCAGTTAAATTCATTTTCCTGCAAATGACATAATTGCATCCTTCTTTATGGCTGAGTTATATTCCATTGTGTGTGTGAGTGTGCATGATACATTTTGTTTAACCATTCATCAGTTATTAGGCATGTAGGCTGATTCCATAGATTGGCTACTGTAAATAGTGCTGCAGTAAGTATGGATATGAAAATACTTCTATTGTATAGTGACTCATTCTTTTGGATATGTGCCCAGGAGTTTATAGCTGGATCAAATGGCAAATCTTATTTTTAGTTTCTTAAGAGTCTCACAGACTCTCTGGTGTGGGTTGGCTTTTATTGTGATCTTCAGATCTCAGTATCCTAAATTGCTAGCATTACAGGCATGACCCACCACTGCTTAGCTTGAGATGGGTTTTTAAATGATTTTTCTAGTATTTGGTTGATCACAGACCATCACAGGACAGACAGAAGCCACCAGAGCATGTGCATGTGTCCGCCACTGCATGTGTCCACATACATGGTTTTGCAAAGGACAACAGAGAGTAGAGAAAGGAGATAAAGCTCAGATCATTTGGGTACGTGTTGAAGAGGAATACTCATGGGGTGGAAGAGACTCCAAGGTTTGGTTGGGAGTGTTGTATGTGTGTAAGGAGAAGTAATGGTGAAGCCCCTTTGGTAAATTAGTGTGTGCTGACATAAAAATCACTTTGAAATGCACAGCACACAGCATGTGCCATTTTAGGGTTTCTGTTCAACAGTGCTTACTATATTTGCTATGTTGCTTAACCATCAACATTATCTTTTTCTGAAAAATTATCTGAGCTCTGTACACGTATGTTCCAACTTCCCCTCAGGCCTGCTAGCCTCTGTGCATTCAGTCTCTGTGAATTTGTCTGTGGGAGATGCTTCAGATAACCAGACTGTCCTTCTGTATCTGGTATCTGATATTTTGAGGGTTCATCTGTGAAAGATGTATTACAAGTATTTTGCTTGTTAGTCCTGAGTAATATTCCATTATCAATGTCCATCCATTCACCTGTAGAGGAATCTTTGAGCTGTTTTTACCTTTTGGCAATTGTGAATACAATGCATCCATCAAGATTATTTCGCATCCCTACTTTGAACTTGTAGAGTATCTGCCTAAGAGTAGAATTATTGCATCACTAGGTAATTCTATGTTTAGAGTTTCTCGGCACTGCCACTGTTTCCCACAGCAGCCATGCTGCTTTCTTTACTTTCCCATCAGGAAGGGATAAAGATTCTAATTGCTCCATACCCTCAGTGTGCTCCACAGCTCATTACTTATTATTTTCTATTTGTTTTTTTTTAATGTTTCATTTTGCTTTTGTCTTGGTTATAGCCAGGCTAAGAGATGGGAAAGGCATCTTCTTGCGGTCTTGTTGTGACCTGTCCCAGTGAGTTGATTTGTCTGGCATCTTTGCATGTGTTCATTGATTGCTCTGTAGAGAAATATGTGCTCCTGTGCTTTGTTTTTCAAAAGTGAATTGTGAAGCTGGGTACTGGTGGCTCACACCTCAGGAAACTGAGATCTGAGGATCATGGTGGAAAACCAGCCTGGCAGAAAAGACACATCTCCAATTGATCCTCCCCAAAACAGAGTGCTGCTGTGGCTCAAGTGGTAGAGCACTAGCCTTGGGCACAAAGAGACTCAGGGATAGCGCCTAGGTCCTGAATTCAAACCAAAAAATTGTGGGTTATTTTGTCATTAAGTTGTACGTCTTCTTTATGTATTTTTGATAACAGTTGTTGTTGGCAAACATATGTTGCAAATATTTCCTCCTTTTCAGTTCTCTCTTCTGGTGGTAAGCTAAACATATGAATTTATTCTATTAATGTTCATAACATTGTTGTTATGCTTAAGAAACAATTGCTGAATCTGATGTCATAAAGAGTTTACTTATGTTTTCTTGTCTCAGAGTTAGGAGGATTTTTAGTCTTATGGGTTACATTTAGGTCTTGGATTCATTCTGAGCAATTGCTACATTTAGTACAGCATAAAGCTTCGTTCATCTTCTTGCTTGTAGACATTTACTTTCCCCAGATGACTGAATTGAACTACATGGAGTGACTTCTACATCTTGGGTCTGTGGAGTTGTGTTTTACCACATTTGGTGTAATTTTGTACTGAGCACCACTGTCACTCCAGACAGATGGGAAAAGCCATCCTGGCACCTGTGGTGCTCTAGGGAGGGGGAAGGTGACCTGGAGTCTCCTGCTCTCAAGCCCATTCTCTGTGCTGTCGCCCATGCTCATTTCTTCATGGCCCCCCAGGAGTCATATGACCTACCCACTATCATGGACCAGGAAGTACAACACACCATCTGGACAGAAACTATGAGTCCTGCAGAGGACTCAGGGACTGGATATATATTTCCCTCTCTGTGCCTCAGTTTCTGCTTTGTATTACAATCTCACGTGAGGGTTCACCCTGACCACACAGGCAGTGTGATGAATTCATGTCGTACACTTGGTCAGTGAGAGTCAGGATTGATGAAACTTTGAAGAACCTCACAGGATCCTGTCAGGATGAATAACTGCCGTGTTTCCTCTAGGAGCCACCACAGATGAGGAGCTGCAGGTGATACAGCCATACAGGGCTGTGTCTGTCGCCGCTGGAGAGACGGCCATGCTGCGCTGCACTGTGACTGTCCTGCACCCTGTGGGGCCCGTCCAGTGGTTCAGGGGGAAAGGACCAAGCCAGGAGTTGATCTCCAATCTCAAAGAACCCCACACTCCACGTGTCACACCAGTTACAGGTGTCATGTGGAGATACAGCATGGACTTTTCCATCCACCTCAGGAACGTCACCCCAGCAGACGCGGGCACCTACTACTGTGTGAAGTTCCAGAGGACAGCCACTGAGAGGGACAAGGAGTTTAAGTCTGGACCAGGCACCAAGCTGTCTGTGAGTGGTGAGTACAGTGTGGCTGCCTTTGTCCTCTGGAGTGTGACAATATGTGCAGACAATAATGCCTTCAGTTCTATGAGCAACTGTCTAGAAGCATAGGTGGGGCTAGGTACTTGAATTCATCTTCTGGTCCCTCCTCCATGGGCCTGGGAAGCCCAAGTCTTCACAGAACCTGCTGCAATGTTCCCAAGCTGGCCACTAGGGACATCTGTCCCCTGGTCATCCTGGGCCAAGCCCAAGCCCCTTGGTTCCAAAGAAGAAAGCTCAGACAGTGTGAGGGGCTTTCCCTTCACAGGTTAGAGGCCTGCCGCCTCCAGTGAGCACTTCTCCTTGGTGCCAGAGGTCTCTTTTCGTGCCACAGTCCTGAGGACTTACTGTGTGTGTCAGGCTCTGCTCTGAAAGCCATGGGGAAGCAGGGAGGGGCCCAGGCTGAGTCTCTGCTCCCTCCAAGCTGTACCTCCTCCCTCCCTTCCCATCTCTCCCCTCAAGTGAGCACCAGCATGGGGGGGGGGGGTGGAGATCAGGGTGTGAATTCCTGATGTCTTCTCCAGAAGCAGCACTGGGGAGAGTCCTGAGAGCTCAGGTTCCCTGATGAGTGTCTGCCCTGGTGGGAGGGCTGTGAGGTCCGGCCTCTGCTCTGGCTCTAGTGTGCACCCTGCATTAGGTACTTGCTCTCACAGGTGCTGAAGCTCTGAGTAAAACTCTGTCATCTACCCAGGCCCACTTCTCCTGTGGGTGACAGAGGGGACTCGGGTGAGGCAGCAGAGATGCTCCCCTTGGGTTTTCTGTCAGTTCCAGGGTCTTCTTTCTACCTCCTAACCCCAGTATTCTCAGCACTCAGAACTGTCAGATTCACCCAAGCAATCCCCAAGTTTATGGTTTTTGATGGGACTTAGATTCCCTTGAGTTGTCAGTCTCTACCTCCTTCATCTGTAAGGTGATAGATGTCATTGCCCTAGACTATCTGCATTCTGAGAGAGTGGAGGGACACACACCAAGAGTGTCAGGGTCATTGCTGCTGTCAGTAGCATAATGGTCAAGAGGACTAGAGATGGAGCCTCATGGCTGGTCCCACATCCCAGCCCAGCCACTTGCCAGCCTGTGACCTGGGACAATGTACTGCCTACAGTGGGACTCCGTGTCCCCAGCTGGCCCTGATGATCCCTCCTAGAGCATGGCAGCACAGCAGGATGGAAGTCCGGGGGCACTTAGAGCAGCACCTGGCTTATAGGAAATGTCCCATCTAAATGAGCTGTGATGGGCAGAGGCCATGTGACCTTGCACAGGTCACTTTCCCTCTCTGAGCCCCAGATGTCAATGGGATTGGTGGGATTGGTAGTTCCCCACCTGACTTGTCACTGGAACCACCTGGGAACCCAGACGGCACCCTAGAAATCCAGCTGTACTTGATCTGCTGTGGATGTGAAGTTCCCAATTATGGCAGGAGATTCTAAAACAGAGCCAGGGTTGAGAATCTCTGAGGTTCTCATGTTCACCCTCAGATCAAAGGAGAAAAGTCCACGGGCAATGTGGTGTGAGACCCTTTCCCTGTGGCTGACTCAGAAAACCACATGCCAGGCACAGCTCTGTGTCACTGAGGACTTAGGCACCCCACCCTCCACCCCACCACCCCCACACAGCACTCCCAGATCTCTGTTCACAGCTGCTCTGGGGAAGGCCCTGAGCTCCGTGTTTTTAGGAAGTTGCTTTGTTGTAAATGAATATGTCTATGTCAACATGGTATCATTCAAGATGCGCTTACTATACACCAGATGCTGTGCCCTGACCAGCCTTCACTCACTTCTGGGGGCGGGGGAGGAAGGGGAGAAGGGGACAAGCAGGTATTGTATCCATTTTCTGTTGTTTAGTTTTTATTGTTATTATGGAGGTAATATACAGAGGGGTTACAGTTACATAAGTCAGGTAAAGAGTACATTTCTTTCTGGACAGTGTCATCCACTCTCTCACAGTTTTTCCCTCCATCCCCCCCCCACAAATTGTAAAGTTCATTTTCAACAAAGTGTCTAGTGAGTATTACTGTTGCATTTGTTCACCCTTTTTCCTTCCACTTCTGTGCCCCTCTTACCCTCCCAAAGACAGATAAATGAAAGAACAAATCAAAAAGTAAACAAAACAAAAACAGCAATGACGAAAAACACCTTTTTTCTATGACCTGAAGTTCATTTAGATAAATATGATTTTATATGCTTAGATACACATAGGCATTGTGCTTTTGTGTTCCTCTCCTAAGAATATCTCATCTCCTTTTGGTCTCACTGTGTGGGAATACCTAGACTCCTGTATACTTTATCATGTTCAGTATGTTTAGATCTAGTTTCTGCATATGAAAGAAAACATGCCGGTTTGTTTGAGCTTAGCTTGACTCACTTAACATTATCTATTCTAAGTCCATCCATTTCCTTGCAAATAGCAAAATATTGTTCTTTCTAATGGCTGTATAAAATTTCACTGTGTATACATACCACATTATTTTTAGTCCACTCATCTATTGTAGGGCAGCTGGGCTGTTTCCATAGCTAGGATGTTGTGAATAATACAGCAAGGATCATGGATGTGCAAGTGTCTTTATGGTATCCTGGCTTGTGATGTGCTGGGTAGATGCCCAGGAGTGGTATGGCTGGGTCATAAGGAAGATCTATGTGTATCCACTTTTTATAGAAGGGGACACTTAGGCTGAGATGGAGAACAGGTGTATGGAGAGGTGGGCCAGTGCTATAACATGTGTCCACATCCACATGGGCCTGTGTTTGATCCCCTGCTATGCTGTATGCACATGACTACACAAGGTGTGTAGAGGTGTCTGTATGTATCTGTGTAGTGTATATATATGAGAGAGAGAGAGGCAGAGAGAGAGAGAGGAAGGAGGGAGGTAGGGAGAGAGAAAGGGAGGGAAGGAGGGAAAGGGGGCAAAGGAATGTGTATATAATTGATCAGGCTATATGGGATGAGATGAGCCTAGGTGCCCTAGGCCAGACAGAGCACCCATCCTTATTCCATCAAGAATCAAACACTTGTAACCTCCCCCCAACAGGAGCAGGATGGGAGAACTGAAGAACTGAGGGGCCTAAAGCAATTGGGCTAGCATCAGGACCCACAAACATTTGACAGAAGGAAGCTAATGACAGCCTCCCACCCTCCAGTTTCTGGTGGGCTGCTGGGGTCTTGATGGCCTGGAGTCTACTTGGACACACTATTTTTACTTCCTCGCCTCTTAGAGACTTTGCATCTTCTTCTGAAATAAGAAATAAAGTGTGTTTCTTTTCCAGCTTTATTGGGAGGTTTAATAAACACGATCTTATTATCATCGGTGTGTGGGGACAGAGCTCAGAGGTAGATCCTGTGTTTAGCAGGCATGAGGCCCTAGGTTCAGTGTTTAGAACAGTAGTAGTCATAATGACAATAGCGTATAGTAGTACTAATGGCAGCTGTGTGTGGGAAGGTTACTCATAGCATCTCTCCTGCACAGCCAGGCAGGCCCTGCAATCACATCTCTGTCTGTAAATGCTCCTTTGTAGCTAGACCTTCTCTTCCCGTGGTTTCTGGCCCTGCAGCCAGGGCCACACCTGGACAGACAGTGAGCTTCACCTGCAAGTCCCACGGCTTTTCCCCTCGGAACATCACCCTGAAGTGGTTCAAAAATGGGAAGCAGCTCTCTGACTTCCAGACCAGCCTGGACCCCAAGGGAGAGAGTGTCTCTTATAACATCTCCAGCACAGCCAAGGTGGTGCTGACCCCCAGGGACGTCCGCTCTCAGGTCATCTGTGAGGTGGCCCACGTCACCTTGTCTGGGAGCCCTCTCCGTGGGACTGCCGACTTGTCTGACGCCATCCAAGGTAGATGACCCCAGGTCCCAACCCAAGCCCCTGCCTGCCCACCAAGCCTGTTGCCCAGTGCTCAGCAGTCCTGCTGTCGAGCACCCGTGCCCAGCACTGTGCTGGAGACTGCACTTCCTTTACCAACAGCAACTACATGTACTGGGCCCGCGTGCATGCCCAGCCCCTCATACCTGTGCCCTGATACTGGGGTTCAGCACTCCAGCCCCTCCTCTGGGGTCTCTGAGCCAAAAGGTCCGAGTCTGTGCCTGTGCTATTTCAGTGCCAGCCACTTTGACGGTCAGCCAGCAGCCCACGATGGCAGGGAACCAGGTGAAAGTCACCTGCATGGCTTCCAACTTCTACCCCTCAAGCCTGCAGCTGGCCTGGATGGAGAATGGAAACATGTCGTTGACCAAAACTGGCTGTGCCCACACCGAGAACAAGGATGGGACCTACAACCAGATGAGCTGGCTGCTGGTGAATGTCTCTGCACACAGGAAGAAGGTGGTGCTCACCTGCCAGGTGGCGCACGAGGGCCAGCCTGCCATCACTGCCAACCTCATCCTGGAGGCCTCTGCCCAGCAAAAGGAGCAGGGCGCAGAAACAACCCCTGGTGAGCCCTCCATGACAGAAAACCAGCTCCTGGAATGTTTCACTAGATGTTATTTCCTTTAACAGGTTTAAATATCCAAAGTACTATATAGTGCTGATTATAGACGAATCTAGAAGTCTAGAAAATAGAGTTGTAAGGTCAGTTCGCACCCCAAGAGGTGGGGACCAGGTGGGGTGCTATTGATGACCCCTTGCCCTTAGAACAGGGGTCACACAAGCTTATCAAGGGACATCTGAGTTTCCTGATGACTGGCCATCACCAACCTGTAAAGCTAATGAAATGCTCCCCTCCAGTGCTCACTGCCCCAGTGGCTGGCTACAGTCCTTCCTAGAACCACTCTGTGTTAGTTCCCTGCCATGGAATACAGGAGCACTTTTCCTCTTTTAGAAGGGTCTAGGGTCCTCCCAGCACTAATCTGCGGGGTCAGTACTGAGTCAGTGGTTTGACTGTGGGAAAAGTAAAGAAGCTGAGGAAAACTGGGTGCTGGTGGACCATGCCTGTTAGCCTAGATACTCAGGGGGCTGAGATCTAAGGATCGTGGTCAAAAGCCATCCTGGGAAAAAAAGTCCCTATGAAGCCCTTATCTCCAATTAACCACTCAAAATCTGGATGTGCAGCTGTGGTTCAAAATGGTAGAATACAAGTCTTGCCAAAATGCTCAGACACAACTCCCAGGACTTGAGTTCGGCCCTACAGAGGAAAAAAAAGGCAAGGACAATTTCATTGCTAGAGATGAGCAGAAACTGCATAATTACGTCCACTAGAAGTTCAGTCCTAGTTGGACATCCAGTGCAAACAGAGTCCACAACTGGGTTGTCAAGTGATTAAAGACATTGTCCTACAAAACCAAAATCACTATCATGGTTAATAAAATTTACAGTAATTCTTCCACATCGGAAAGGGAGTACCAGGTGCTGATGGCTCACAGTTGAAATCCTAGATACTCAGGAGGCTGAGATATAAGAATTGTGGTTTGCAACCATCCTGGGATGAAATGTCTGTGAGATGCTTGTTTTCAATTAATCAGCAAAAACCTAGAAAGGAAGCTATGACTCAATTAGTAGAGTGCTAGCCTTGAGCAAAACTCTAAGGGACAGTGCCCACACCATGAATGCAAGCCCCAGTATGGAGAGTAAATGAAATAAATAGAGTACTATTTTTTCAAAAATTACTTTTATTTTCTAATTTGTGTGCCAATAAATTTTCTTTCAATTCATCCATGTGTGTGTGCACACACACACGCGTGAGCATGCACGTGTGCACGCATGTGTGCACGCACGTGTGCCTGCATGGCACACCCATCCTGGGGCTTGAATTCAGGGCCTGGATGCTATCCCCGAGCTTTTGTGCTCAAGGCTAGCACTCTACCACGAGCCACAGCTGCAGCTCAGGCCTTTTGGTGGTTTACTGCAAGTAAGAATCTCACAAATTTTCCTGCCTGGGCTGGCTTCAGATCTCAGCCTCCTGAGTAACTAAGATTACAGGTGAGCCCCTGGCAATGAGATGAATTCATCTCTAAATGCTTGGTCACAGCTTCCTGTGAAAACATTGGAGCTTTATAAATCTTTCCAGGATTAAGATGACTAATTCAGCTTCCCTTAAGGGTTCAGTTCACAGAGTGCTCCCTCATATGTCAAATGTGTGCTCCCTGGCTACTGGCCATTTGAGGAGGTTCTGGACACTTTAGGAAATGAGACCAAGCTAGAAGAAATAAGTCACTGAGTAATGGATTCAGGGGCTCCCTCTTGTCCTTAGCTCCTTCCTCTTCTTTCCCTCTCTTTGCCTCCTTCTCCTTTCTCCTTCTTCCTTTCACTTTCCCTCTCCCTTTTTCTATCCCTCTCTCTGTCCCTTTCCCTCTGTCCCTTTCTTCCTCCTTACATGCCCCTGTCCTTTAATGAACACCATGACACAACCTGAGTAGCTTCTGTCAAGTGGCCCGACAAGTCCAGGATGCTCTTTCTACCCAGGTGTCCAGATCAACAGAGCCCAGAAACATGACTTCAAACCTCTGAAACGAAGAGCAAAATCAACCCTTCCACCTTTTACATTGCATTTCTCGGACATTAGTAGAGCCATTCCCATTAATAATTTTTATACTAGAGGAATTGTGGTGAGTTGTACTGTTTCATGAATTTTGGTCTGTCTCCTCTCCAGTGTGAACTTTCTGCATTAAGAATTCTACACTACATACACTCTGAGCCCTGTGATTTCTCTAGGATCAGCCACTGCAGATGGGGCAAGTTCTGGCTCTGGGGAGGAATGGACTCAGGGGGCTCTCCAATGGCTCCTCTTGTGTCTTGATTTTTCAGATACTATGTGTTTTAATCTTGCTGGACTCCTCATACTTCTGTACCTCAGCTCCAAGGTGGTGTTGGCAGTTGGAGTCTCTGCCATCTACATCCACAGGAAATAAATGGTAAGTTGAAAGGGAGGGAGGGCAGGCCAAGGAAGGGTCAGCAGGCAACCAGTTCACTGTCACACAGTGTCAGAGTCATTGGAGTCTAGAGGAGACAGAGGCCCCTCCCCACCTCAGAAGTCTCATGGAGCCTTGTGAGAGGTGCCCAGTTCCCAGAGCGAGTGTGAGTGCTGCAGGAGGGGTGAGGTCAAGGGTTTGGAAAGGGTGTCCACAGGGTCTGAGGGGCTGCATGGAGGAGGTAGAACAAAGAGTGGGAAGAGGGACAAAGCACTCGATGGTCCCCTTGGAGGCCATCGTTAGATTCCCTCAATGATGGGACTCCTTGGGACAAGGAGAATGCAACTTGGAGCAATATTAAAGGTTTCAGGTGTGTAAATTGAGGGCTGGCCCTACTCTGGCTGAATGCACAAGAGAGAACCATTCGAACCAACACAATGGACAAAGAGTGAGCATGCAAGCAGGAAGCTGAGGGAAGGGAACAGTGCTGTCCCAGAGGCTCCTGTCCTCTCTGGACAGGTGCTCAGGAGTGAGCAGCATCAGGAACATAAGAGCACTCAGAAGACAATTCATGAACGAGGCGAGGACTCAATGTGACATCTCCCCCACAGCGCTCTCCTTCCTCCAACCCTGCCACCTGGGACTCTCAGTCACTGCAACCTTCACACTTGGAGACATCCAGCCTGGGGTAAAAAGCAGACAGAAACTTTTCACGGACTCTGCTCCAGCACCTCTTCTCCCAGGACAACACCAGTCCCCAGACTTCTATTTCCTTTCTACTTGAGGACTTATCCCCACCCCCAGCAGTTGGGCTGCTTTTCTGCTCCTGAGCTGAAGCTGTGATACCAGCTCTGAGGACTGACTCAGAACACTGCCTTAACATGTGAGGAATGAGCCCAGCCTGAATACCTCAGGAGGGTCCTACCCATCACTTCTGCGTGACCATCACCACACCCCCAGTCAGTCACGGAGGCATCAGTATTCCTCAGGGAAAGGCTCATGTAAGATAAGGTGCTGTTGGGTCTGTGGTGGAGAAACTGAGGAGGTAAATTTAATATGGCTGGGTAGCAGATAGACATGAATGGATGAGTGTGATCTTTTCTGAGTTTAACCAACCCGGGGGATGACAAGAACACATCCTTAACCTGAATTAGGTGGGAGTCATGGCCATATAAGAGCAGATGCTAACTTCATATTTGCATAGCTGATGTACAAATAAAGATGTCAAGAAGGCTAAAGAGTATATGTCCGCATCATTAACCAAATGAATCAGATACTAGCAGGTGGATTCAAAATTTTGCTTTTTTGTATGTTAGTTCTGGGGCTTGAACTCAATGCCTAGGCACTGTCCCTTAGCTTTTTTTCACTTAAATCTAGCACTTTAACTACTTAAGCCACAGCTCCACTTCCAGCTTTCTGGTGGTTAACTGAAGATAAAACTCTCACAGACTTTTGAGCCAAGATTCTCAGATCTCAGCCTCCTGAGTAGTTAGGTTTACAGGTGTTGAGCCCAGTGCCAGGCGTGGACACAGGATTTTAACCCAGATTGTGTCTGATCCCAAAATGGATGCTCTTGTGCATTAATCGATTATTACTCACTCTCTAGAGAGCTCAGAGGCTATGAAAGAAGTATGGGATAATGGCTGGGCATCTCTGCATAGAATGTAGCTTTCCAGAACAATGGGATGAGATGGTGACATCATAGAGAGAAAGGAGAGTTATCTCCACACATAATTTCACAGAACATGTGTACCCTCTGCCTTTATTTCTTCCCGTGTTCTGCTGATCCTGAAACCTAGTGGAACCCGAGGCAGGAGACATTGGTCCCTAAGAGGGCATGGGTAGGGAAAGTGGTTGGTAGGAATGCTTGAATGTTGAAGGGTTAGCAGCTAAGTATGAGTCCATAGAAATAAGCTTGGTGATTGGGTAGAGTCCATTCCAGGGTTGGGGGAAGGAAGAATGTTGCATGCTGGTTCTGGTTTTGTTGGTATTCTCATCTTTATTTTTATGCCAGAATTGGGGTTTGAACTTAAAGCCTCATTGCTCACTTGGCTTCTTTTGTTCAGGGCTGGTGCTTAACCATTTGATCCATACCTCCACTTCTAGCTTGTTTGCTGGTTGTTAAAAGAGTCTCGGATTTGTCTGTTTCAGTTGGCTTTAAACCATGATTCCTAGCTCCCAGGCTCCTGAGTAGCTAAGATTACAGGCAGGAGCCTGCTGCACCTGGCTCTGGTTCTGTTGGTTCTGGGCTTTTTTTTTCTACTTCTGTATTCCTTCTCCAAAAGCTGACTCCAAACACAGTTCAGACAGTACAGGCAACCCTCACTCTCCAAGGTATGTTGCTAGGTATGTTGCTTTTCCTCTTGGAGAGGGTTCCCAAAGCCCTACCTTCCCTCCTGTCCTCTACAGTACAAGCAATGGCCATCTCCAAAACTCGGGTCCCTCTTTCAGTTGCCCCTGATTCCTCTGCAGGAAGCAGGGAAGAAAGTCACTTCCAGTATTGTATGGAGGGATCCCAGCAAAACCCAGAGCCCTCAAAAGACATTCCATCAGAATTCGGTTTTGGTCTTTGACACTTCTGGAGTCCAAGCAAAGGGTTCATTGTAAATTCCACCTCGCCTAGCAGTGGGCAGCTCAGCAAGCTCCAGTTGTAGGGCTCCTGTCTGAGTAGGATCCATCCTGCCCTTCACAGGGCTTTGTGCTCCTGGTGCAGCCCAGCTCTTCAGGGCTCCTGCCGAAGCAAGGGCTCTGGGTCTGGAGAAGCCTTCTGAGGTAGAATGAGGTTCTGGAACAGTATATTCTCACAGGTCTGAGGACTGTCACCTAGGACAATCCTGGACTTTGCTAGCAATGACTTCTCAACTTACAGCAAATGTGTCTGTCCCACCTTATAATTCCAAAGGAAAAACTGTCTCTCCCCTATGGCCTTTCCCCTCATCACAATCCCCTTCCTCTGACATCATGGAGGCTGGCACTATAGTCTACCCTCACCAAGCCAAGTCCAGGGCCTCTCCAGGAAAGGCATTCAGATAGAGTAGGCTCTGCAGACCACCATGATACCCATTCCTGCCTCCCCAGCCCGCCCACCTCTGCTTTCCCTCCTGCTGCCCCTGCTGCTGGAACTCAGAGGTCAGTGGAGTCTTGCTATGGTGTGGATGTCATTCATACCTCAAGGTTCATGTGCTGGAATCTCAGTTCTTAGTAGGGTGGTGATGGGGATGTGTAGATCTTTAAAAGGTAGAGCCTACAGAGAAGTCATTAGATTCCTAGATACTGCCCTTGGAAGGGATTAAGGTGTTTCTCATGGGACCTTCATTGGCTGTGGTGGGAGAGTTATTAGAAATTCCCCAGGCTGGCCCCATTCTTCCTCTTTCTGGCTTCCTGTTTAGCAGTGGGTTGTCTTCCTCCTCTGTGCACTACTGCTGTTGCTACCTGTCATGAGGACGTTCAGTCAAGAGGGCAGGGGACTGTTTGCAAGAACCTGTGCTGTGCTATTTGGACTTTCAATCTCCTGAACCATGAGCTACATAAACTTCTCTTCTTAAAGTTTGTCTGCCCAGGGGAATTTGTTATAGTCACAAACAAAACAGACTAGTAAAGTATAGGTATGGTAGGGACTCCCCCTCTACCTGTTTAATTTGCTCTCTTGATCTTTTCCCATAGACTCTTTCTTTAGAAGGTTTTTCTATGGTCCATCCTGGAACAATTAGAATTTAGAACATCAGAGATTGCCCCCAGCTTACAAAATCTGGCTAGTGTTCCATTCCTTTGTTCCAATAATGGACTCACACCCAGGGGTCACAGGGCTGAGTACCCACCTCTTCAAAACTCCTGCCTTCTAACCTCTGGAAATTTATTACCACTTCACCAATATGAAATCATAAAGCAAGAGAATACTCTACGGTGTAACAACCTGGAAATCATTGCTGGAATTTTTTTTTAAAGTTACTGCACTTGTGGAACATGGCCAGAAGTTTCTCCAGACCAGCAATAGTGCCTCCTGGTTCTGCTTCTATTCTGAAGCATCTTAGAGACCCCTGGAGTCTCTTACTCAAGCCTTTGTTCCATATTATTAGAAGCTTTGAGTCCCAATTTGCCATCGTGGGGAAAATCAAATGTTCAGAGCAAATGGAAGCAGAATCAAAACAATTACCTCAGTATGAAGAAGGAGCAGGAAACCCTGAGTGTTTGAGTGGATGAGACCTCCCAGATCCACTGGGAAACGTTAGCAAATACCAAGCTTATGTAATCTCTTCCAGGAAACAGAAAAGGACCGACCACTTCCCAAATCATTTTATGAGGCTATTATTATCTAAATAGCAAAACAAGATAAATATTGTACAAAAGAGAAAAAACACTATACATCAATATCTCTCATGACCTTAGGTGCAAAATCCTCAACAAAGTGTTAGCGAATACAATCTGACAATGTGTAAAGTTTATAACACCATGACTAATTGGATTTATTCCAGACATGCAAGGTGTTTCAAAACTGGAAAATCGGTCTTTGAAATCCACCATACCAAGAGGTTAAAAGAAGGAAATTTGCAAGATGATACCAATTGGTGTGTGGGAGAAAAAAACTCACAAAATTCAACACCCGTCATGACACAAGCTCTCAGCAAACTTGAGAGGAAGATTCTCCTCAATTTTGAGAGCTCATTGACAAAACCTGATCATTATAATAATACTTAACAACGAAAAACAGGATGTTTTTCCCCTAAGAAAAACTCACACATCTTGATGAATATTTTATTTTCCAGACAATGTATAGTATACTTGGGGGCTGACTTTTTAAAGAGAAAGTGACAATGCATAAAGATCATAGACTTTATTCCTAGTTAACGTTTTTGAAGGGGGAGCAGAAGCCATCCTGAAGAGATCCCCCAGTGATGACTGAATATACCCAAGTGCGTGGATGACTCTTGGAATGATACTTGAATAAACCTGAATGCGCCCAGTCAGTATTTACAAGGACTTTGTAGAAGCAACCCATTGTAAGAAAAAGTAATCTTGGTTTTATGAATAGGAAATCCCTTTCTAAATGTTACCCTTCTATTTAGTTTCAAGGTTTAAAAAGGCTTCAGTGATTATCTATCTTCATATTGATTTAATTTAGGTCAAACAAAAGCTAGTCTCAAGGATGTGTGAATGTTTTATAGGCATTATAGAAGAGGCGCTTCAGTGTTACACTGGAAGCTTACAATTGCTCATAACTTGCTGACGATGGAGACATATAGAGACACATAGATCTCTATAGAGACATATATATATATAGATAATTTCAGGAAATGTAAATTTACTTTGAAATTACTGAACTGGGTACTAGTGGCTCATCATCTCTGTAATCCTCCTTACTCAGGAGGCGATATCTAAGGATCAAAGTTCAAAACCAGTTCAGGCAGACAAATCTGTGACTCTGATCTCAATCAGCTAGCAAAAAGCCAGAAGTGAAGGCATAACTCGTAGTTGATCCCCAGCCTTGAGTAAAAAAGCCAAGCAAGAACATGAGACCCTGAGTTCAAGCCCCAATACTGACACAAAAGAAAAAGCAAGCAAGGAAGGAAGGAAGGAAGGAAGGCAGGAAGGAAGGCAGGCAGGCAGGAAGGCAGGCAGGAAGGAAGGAAGGAAGGAAGGAAGGAAGGAAGGAAGGAAGGAAGGAAGGAAGGAAGGAAGGAAGGAAGGAGGAAGGAAGGAAGGAAGGAAGGAAAGAAGGAAGGGAGGAAGGGAGGGAGGGAGGGAGGGAGGGAGGAAGGAAGGAAGGGAGGGAGGGAGGGGAGGAGGAAGAAAAGGGGAAATAGGAGAGAAAGGGAAAGGGGTGAATGAGCAGAGGGGGAAGGGAGAGGGAAGTAGGAGAGGAGAGAGAAGAAGAGAGAA